GGTAATAGCAGTTGTGATATTTACAGAGCACTTTGACCGTGTCTGCAGGCCATGAAGACGCGCCAACATCCTTCTATCTCTCATTATAAAGCTGGATTATTTATGTTTCAGAGTTCTCACTCCCTAATGCTATACATACTGCTCAGTCTATTCTAGTTGGAAATGTTGGAAAATGGCTCCCAAAATGTATATTCAAGAGCTCTGGTTCGTTAATAATCTGAGTTTGGAAGCACAAGCTTCCAGTCTCTCGTTGCCTGCCAGGAGAGAGACGAGGGATTATCCACTGTCTGTTGAACAACAAAGCTGTCCGGCTCTATCCAGCTTCACACACGAGCTATGTTTCAGAAACATATTTTAAATATATTTCATACAATTATATAACAAGTTCTAAAGGAGAGATTGGGTGATGAAGTGTCTCAACTGAAATGTAAAACACAGAGAGCACCTGGGACTAAAGGTCATTCTATCCTGTCAGTAATTTCACACACAACTGCATGCTAACCACCAGCAATTTATAACTCCCTTCACTCCTTTCCTCTTGCTAACCATTTACGCAGGTGCACATAATAAAACAATAATATGAAATAGTGACCAGAGCGAACATTAGTGAGACAGTTCCATGTGAGGGAAGTCAGTTATCCAGGGATCTCCCTCCTGGACGCTCGCTTGACCTTCATAAAAGTTATTATGAAAGAAACTTTGTCAGATAAGTGTAACAGGGGATAGTATACAAAGCAAAATTATTTTGACTGTGAAAAAAATAAGAATCTTCAACTATAAAAGTTTATATTATATATCATCGAAAATGTAATAAAAACAGTTATATTAAAAATAACGAAATTCATGTCAACCGTGTGTATTAGGCTTCTCTTCAATAAATGTGTGGCCGGCAGTCAGTCTTCCTGAAACTGCAGATCTGAAATTAAACCATGAATAAAATTTCAATTAATTTACTCATTTAAGCTATCAACCAATTTTTATTATAATACTAAATGACTTTCATGTTCAAGCAAACACCGAGTCACAGTCACAGCTGAAGGACGACTTTCATACAGAGCTTCCTCGCTGTCAGCACCACCACAGCTGAAGGACGACTTTCATACACAGCTTCCTCGCTGTCAGCACCACCACAGCTGAAGGATGACTTTCATACAGAGCTTCCTCGCTGTCAGCACCACCACAGCTGAAGGATGACTTTCATACAGAGCTTCCTCGCTGTCAGCACCACCACAGCTGAAGAACGACTTTCATACAGAGCTTCCTCGCTGTCATCACCACCACAGCTGAAGGACGACTTTCATACAGAGCTTCCTCGCTGTCAGCACCACCACAGCTGAAGGACGACTTTCATACACAGCTTCCTCGCTGTCAGCACCACCACAGCTGAAGGATGACTTTCATACACAGCTTCCTCGCTGTCAGCATCACCACAGCTGAAGGATGACTTTCATACACAGCTTCCTCGCTGTCAGCACCACCACAGCTGAAGGATGACTTTCATACACAGCTTCCTCGCTGTCAGCACCACCACAGCTGAAGGACGACTTTCATACACAGCTTCCTCGCTGTCAGCGCCACCACAGCTGAAGGACGACTTTCATACAGAGCTTCCACGCTGTCAGCACCACCACAGCTGAAGAACGACTTTCATACAGAGCTTCCTCGCTGTCAGCACCACCACAGCTGAAGGACGACTTTCATACAGAGCTTCTTCGCTGTCATCACCACCACAGCTGAAAGAGACTTTCACACACAGCTTCCACGCTGTCAGCACCACCATAGCTGAGACTTTCATACACAGCTTCCACGCTGTCAGCACCACCACAGCTGAAAGAGACTTTCATACACAGCTTCCACGCTGTCAGCACCACCACAGCTGAAAGAGACTTTCATACACAGCTTCCACGCTGTCAGCACCACCACAGCTGAAAGAGACTTTCATACACAGCTTCCACGCTGTCAGCACCACCACAGCTGAAAGAGCCTTTATACACAGCTTCCACGCTGTCAGCACCACCACAGCTGAAAGAGACTTTCATACACAGCTTCCACGCTGTCAGCACCACCACAGCTGAAAGAGACTTTCATACACAGCTTCCACGCTGTCAGCACCACCACAGCTTCCACGCTGTCAGCACCACCACAGCTTCCACACTGTCAGCACCACCACAGCTCCCACGCTGTCAGCATCACCACAGCTTCCACGCTGTCAGCACCACCACAGCTTCCACGCTGTCAGCACCACCACAGCTTCCACGCTGTCAGCACCACCACAGCTGAAAGAGACTTTCATACACAGCTTCCACGCTGTCAGCACCACCACAGCTGAAAGAGACTTTCATACACAGCTTCCACGCTGTCAGCACCACCACAGCTTCCACGCTGTCAGCACCACCACAGCTTCCACACTGTCAGCACCACCACAGCTCCCACGCTGTCAGCATCACCACAGCTTCCACGCTGTCAGCACCACCACAGCTTCCACGCTGTCAGCACCACCACAGCTTCCACGCTATCAGCACCACCACAGCTTCCACGCTGTCAGCACCACTACAGCTTCCACGCTGTCAGCACCACCACAGCTTCCACGCTGTCAGCACCACCACAGCTTCCACGCTGTCAGCACCACCACAGCTTCCACGCTGTCAGCATCACCACAGCTTCCACGCTGTCAGCATCACCACAGCTTCCACGCTGTCAGCATCACCACAGCTTCCACGCTGTCAGCATCACCACAGCTTCCACGCTGTCAGCACCACCACAGCTTCCACGCTGTCAGCACCACCACAGCTTCCACGCTGTCAGCATCACCACAGCTTCCACGCTGTCAGCATCACCACAGCTTCCACGCTGTCAGCATCACCACAGCTTCCACGCTGTCAGCATCACCACAACTTCCACGCTGTCAGCATCACCACAGCTTCCACGCTGTCAGCATCACCACAGCTTCCACGCTGTCAGCATCACCACAGCTTCCACGCTGTCAGCATCACCACAGCTTCCACGCTGTCAGCATCACCACAGCTTCCACGCTGTCAGCACCACCACAGCTTCCACGCTGTCAGCACCACCACAGCTTCCACGCTGTCAGCATCACCACAGCTTCCACGCTGTCAGCATCACCACAGCTTCCACGCTGTCAGCATCACCACAGCTTGCACGCTGTCAGCATCACCACAGCTTCCACGCTGTCAGCATCACCACAGCTTCCACGCTGTCAGCATCACCACAGCTTCCACGCTGTCAGCACCACCACAGCTTCCACGCTGTCAGCACCACCACAGCTTCCACGCTGTCAGCACCACCACAGCTTCCACGCTGTCAGCATCACCACAGCTTCCACGCTGTCAGCATCACCACAGCTTCCACGCTGTCAGCATCACCACAGCTTCCAGACTAAAGTGAAAAAAAAAGACTTGCTTCTCCGGGTTAATTTATGTTAACCTAAATTAACCTATATTCGCGTCTAGTTAATCGCCATTGCCGAAACTAGGTGTAGAAACTAGGTGTAGAAACTAGGTGTAGTTAGGTAGCTGCTCGACTAGATTATTATTATTATAATCAAGGGGGAAGCGCTAAACCCATAGGATTATACAGCGCCCAGGGGAGGGGGGGATGTGGAAGGCATTCAGGCTTAATTCGGGGAACTGGAGCACAGATCCAATTCCCTAAATCAAGAGCCCCTCACCAACATCAAGGAACCTTCCATGAGGGGTGCTCGACTAGAGAAAGATATTATCATGTTGTATAACCCAGTTGCCTGTGTTTTAATATGCGCAATATGAACACTGTAGAGTGAGGCATAAGTTTATAATGCAATTAAATATTATCAGTGAAAATTTGAAGCGAATCAGAAAAGGCATTTAAGTAAAAAATGGCAAAGGAGGACAAATACAGCCCAAACCTAATTCAAAGATTCCAGTAATAAACACCAAGTTTGAAGCCAAACTGAAGAGGCATTCTCTTGTTATCTCAGATGATGGCTGGCAGAACAGTACGGTATGTTTTTTTTTTTTCATTGTTAAAAATTACGGTTCAAAATTATATATGGTATTTCTGGTAGGTGCGAAATGTACCGTACCGGCAACTTTGTCTCAGAGACAAATATCTTAAAATACACCAGCATATTAAGCCGAAAGTCGCTCAGAAGTTGCATTGTCAAATTAATTATCAGCGTTGATTTGTTGAACCTAATCTGACTAGACTGAAGCTGCATGAAAACGAATATTTCAATTATTGCAGTTTCTTTAATAAACAAGCAAATTAGGACAAGGTAAAATTAAATCAGACTTTCCCTAAGAAAGATCAGCATTGAAAGTTTAAGTAATCAAGTTTTATTTAGGCTTTGAGTAAGATAAGATAAGATTTCGTTCGGATTTTTAACCCCGGAGGGTTAGCCACCCAGGATAACCCAAGAAAGTCAGTGCGTCATCGAGGACTGTCTAACTTATTTCCATTGGGGTCCTCAATCTTGTCCCCCAGGATGCGACCCACACCAGTCGACTAACACCCAGGTACCTATTTGCTGCTAGGTGAACAGGACAACAGGTGTAAGGAAACGTGGAACCCGGGCCCTCCGTGTGTGAAGCGGGGAGCTTTAGCCACCAGGCTAAGTATATAAAAAGCATCTATTTTACAATGGTTTGGAAGGCAGGCAGATATTATAAGTATATAAAACGTACACAATGTAGCTGCAGCCTCGGATAACACAGTCTGACACTAACTTATTCCTAAGACATTATCCAATTATCTCGCAGAAACTAATTTGTTTACAAAAATTGGCATATT